ACACACACACACACACACACACACACACACACACACACACACACCAAGCGTCACGTGTAATATTGAAGAGTACTGAAAATAAGCACTCATGCTCTGGAAAAAGGCAGACTCAGTGCTGATGGAAACCTTTTAATGGCCACCACTGCACTTGCCCCCCCTCCACCCCCACAGACACATGCTTATAACACCCAAATTCCAGTTTTATTTTTATATGCCTTTCTTCTTAAAGACTGTGAAGTTTCATGGATGCTATCACAGCAGACATTTGTGGTTTCTCAATCTGTGAGCCAATTTATGCCATACAGCTCCATAGCAGTAGTGTGTCTTGCGGGGGGTGTTCAGTTAAAGTCACCAGAAGAAAGTGTACTTCACCACAGCTGGCGCAAAGGACTTACCTCTGTTTTACCTTACTGTTACGGTTTCTGGGCTGTGGATTACTCTGAGATGGACTGACTAAGTGCTTATTGAAAATGGTTAGACGGGGGGTGGGGAGAGGAGAGGAAGAGAGACAGATAAGAGGCAAGATAATCCAAAAGTAACAGGACTGGTGTCCTTGCCCGGGCCTGGGTCGCCGTGACACTTAAATGCTTGTGCCCCCCCCCCCGCTGATTACACCAGCATGGTGCTTCAGCACTCTGCGCCTCCCCCCACAGGTGAACCAGATGTTCACCAACTTCCCGCTGGACGTCTCGGGCAACCTGGACTACAAGAACCTGTGCTATGTCATCACCCACGGAGAGGACAAGGAGCAGGACTGAGTGGGCGGAGCTACTCAAACCCTCTGCCTGTTCATAGTGTCACACTGCAAAGCCTGGGCCTCCTCTTGTCACCCGAGACACTGCTGCCAGTTTACTACCCAATAAAAGCTCCACAGTGTCCTCTCTGAACCTCTGCTTTCTAGGAGAATCTCCTGCTTCCTTTTTTGGTCACACCATTGAACGCTTCTGTGCAATTTGTCCATTTCGTACTCCAACGTGCTGCAATAGTCCTGAAAGTCGTGCTCACTGGTCATTGGTGATATTTACCGGCTTCCTGTTAGGGGGAAACGAATAGAATGTGCTAGAGAGTAAGAAACTGATACCCAGAGACAGCAACTTCCAGAGGCGGCTGCATGCAAAGGCCGCACCCCTCGTAAACACGTTTACACGGGCGTTCGAGGCACCACAGCCAGACGCAAACATGACAACACATGCGTGTGTCATGCTATTATGTCAATTATCATTTCTGGCTTCTGCTCATTCCAGTGTATAATACAGGCTATATTTAGATGATTCATGGTGAATTATACTTTGTGACGTAAACCACAAGTGCCTTTTCTCACATAAATATAGAGTAAGCTTCTGAGCATTACACCTAACACTGGATAAGAGATTAGCCATAGCAACAGAAGGGTACTGACACGCGCTCCCTCCGCTGATGCCAGATGTACTAAAGGAGTCTAATGTGGACCACAACCCCCTGAAACATCTGGACGACTTCACCAAAACAACCCTGAAGAACTTCTCACACAGACTTAGCCCCATCCGTCAGGAAGAAAGCAGCATGTATTATTTACATATATGTAGGAAAACAGCAAAAACATTAAGCTTATGTAAGTGCACGTCGCAGAAGAAGCCTGTTATTGTCACTGCTGACATTTATGTGTCTGCTGCATAGAGACGCACTGCGGCAGGCCGTCGTAACAATGAAACGTGCAATAAAATCACACTACAGAGCCGGCAAGTTTCATGACAGGGCTGCTTTCCATGGAGAACCCGAGCTGCCCAAGTGCTGCCAAAACATAAAACCCCCCCCCTGCCAAAACATAAAACCCCCCCCCCCCTCCTCCGCCCTGTTCGACATGTGGTTCCTTCCACACAGACGGCTGACAGCCGCTCAGGGATCCATCCAAACGCTTCCCTTTGAAGTCGGACAAGCGCAAGTGTGTGGGGAGATGTTCCACCCGAATGACCATGGAGCAAGCTCCACCCCTATGAAGAAACGTCTCGTAAGTGAAGGTGACACCGATCTGCAGGAGTCAAAGCCGATTCTGTGAGGTTGTAGGAGAAACAGAACAGTAATGGGGCGAAAGGAACTTTAATGGTTTGTAGCTGGAAGTTACAGTATATCACTTTTACAGTTACGGAACACATTCAGTTAGGAAAACTTCAGAGCGATACGTGTTTAAAGGGCTAGTGAATGAGGAGCTGGCAGATCAATCAGTCAATCAATCAATCAATCAATCAATCAATCAAATAACCGACAACTCAAAAGAAGTCACTGGGCCCAAGTGTAGGACTGTTACATCATAACTCAGTGATACTGATAACCTAGCCACATAGCACACCTGGACTGTATGTCCATCTCAGATTACAGCCAATACATGTATATATATATATATATATAAAATACTTATCAAAGTTAGATATTATCTATACAAAATGCAGGTCTAAAATGACAAGAGAAAGAATGCAGGATCCTTGGGGAAACAGGCTATCTGTCTGGGGGGAAAGAGGCAGTCTGTCTAGGGGCAAATAGTGGTCTGTCTGGGGGCAAAAATGCAGTCTGTCTGGGGGGAAAAGGCAGTCTGTCTGGGGGCAAAAAGGAAGTCTCTTTGGGGGCAAACAGGTGGTCTCAGGGTAAAAGGGTAATCTGTCTGGGGGGAAAGGCAGTCTGGGGGCAAATAGGCAGTCTGTCTGGAGGCAAAAGGGAAGTCTGTTGGGGGTCAAACAGATGGTCTGTCTGGAGGTAGAAAGGCAATCTCTCTGGAGGGAAAAAGCCAGTCTTTCTGGGGGTAAAAAGGCATTTTGTCTGGAAGGAAACAGGTGATCTGTCTGGAGGAATAAGCAAACATTTCAGAAAGGATTTTAAATATAAAATAAAATCTGATACTGAAGGAGTCATTTTCCCCCAAGAAAAATCTTGCCACCAGCTCCCCCAGTACCTGCCATGTCCCTGTCAGCCCCGATGAGCGAAACCAGTGGTCTGCTCTGAAATGGTCACACTGGGGACCATGAGAGACAGCACACATACTGATTAAGGCTGGAGGGGCCCTGGCACAGAGGGGAACACACAGGGTGTAAGGTTAACAAACACCGGAAAGGACAAGAACGTGAAAAAGAGCATTAATATCATACAGCCTAAGACATCCACAGAAGACACAGTAAACAGAATGGACAGGATTAGGGCCAGGAGTTATCTCCACTAATACCTGAATAAACCTGACCATTCGCTGTTCCCCATCAATTCCAGTAAAACCAGGACTCTGAGTTCTGAGTCCCCACCTGCTTCCCCCACCACCACCACCACTAGCTGATTAGTTGCATTTCATTCGTCAGTTGCGATTTCGCCTCTCTTTCGTCTTTCCAACTGGGTGACTGGGGTGCAGGATTGAGGAAGAATAGCCAATGGTCTCCACTTTTCTTGTCTATTCCGTGGGCAGGAGGGACAGGTCATTGAAGATATCCTGCCCGGATCCAGCTTCCGCCGTACTCTCTGCATGAACATATTGGGCGGTAAGAGGTTGTGAGAAAGGAAGAAACTGATTGCACCTTTCACTTAATACCAGGCTCCTTCAGAAACACAACCCAACTGAAACCCTAAGCGAACTCTCAGAAAACATGGGTGGTGTGTTAACATCTGCTCCTAACAGTGGCGGAAATCTGAGCCTTAACGCACCTCGGGGGACGATGTGCTCCAGGATAACAACTCGCTCCGCCAGGATCTTCAAGGCCTCCCTTAATTGCTGTATAGCTTCACTCTGCAAAGAGACACACTGTCAATTAGCCCCTCCTACCACGGCTGCTCTGACCAATCACAAACCTTCCCCAGTTTCAAGCTGACATGTTGAAGAGCTGGGTTTCTGAATATTTGCACGTTTGCTCACGACTGTGACTGTCTTTCCTCACCTCCACTATGCTCTCTCCTGGCTCACCCTTGGGCCCCGGAGCACCCTGGTGATGCAAACACACGGACACTCTGTTGTGGAATAACTAAAAAGATTCCAGAAATATTCCTGTCTTTTTTTCAGTGTCCAAAATGATGTCGTCACACATGGGACTATCATGAGGTCCGACAGCCTGGCAGGCGTGTAGAGCTGCCTGTCACTACTTACCGGCAGGCCTTGCTCACCAATCTTTCCAGGGGGTCCCTGGCGACGGTAAAAACAGCAAATCAGGGCCCATCGAATGACTGCTGTTCGACAGGAAGCTAGAGGCCTGTACTTAAACGGCGTTATCCATAATGTTGAAGGGTTACGTTTTCATGAATAACAATTATTTACCAGGTTTCCCTCATCTAAGGAATAAATAAACTGGTAAGCTTATTAAATCATATGCCGCGCATGTTCTCCATGTTATCATGTGATTATTCAGGTTAGGCTCCAATTTACATTTGATTGAGATCTGGAATCCTCAAAGACTTTAAGTGCCAGTTCATTTGGAAGGAAACTAATCAAGACTGTTCTGAACAAGAGGACTGGGCTCACCATGGACCCTGGGTCTCCTTTGGGTCCCGGGTTGCCAGGTTTGCCCCAATAGCCGTCCTTGCTCTGAAACACATGCACACAAATGAAAGATCCACACACACACACACACACACACACACACACACACACACACACACACACACTGCATTTCTCTATCATACACAGCAGCGTGCGGCCCAAAGTCCACATACTGTAGCATCTCACCACACAGAGAATGTCACCATACTCACGTCACGTTCAACCGAGCCCAGAATGCCTGGCACTCCAGCGGGTCCCGGGGAGCCTGTGGCATGTAACAGATGAGCACAGACCGTTTTCTCAGGTGCTGACAGTGTGTTTTTAGTGCCTGAGTGTTTGCGGGACCAAACGCCACTGCCAGCGGCAGTTTCTGCTCAGCTGTCCCCAGTTAAGTACAGTGAGTGGATGTGGGCAGTGACTCCAGAAGCCATTAAAGTGTCTGAGGATGTCTCTCATGTGCAGACTGGTTACCTGGGGGCCCAGTGGGACCGGGAGGACCGGGGGGCCCACGCAAAGGAGGAGCGTCTTCATCTTTCAAAAGAAAAAAAGGAAAGCAAGAGGAACGTAGTAAACGTTTGTGGGAAAGTGGCACACGTACAGAGTGCACATGATACCGTCACCATCAAGTGGCTTGTCTTACAGGGCTTTTTCCTCTCCTGTTACTTCATACAATTTTCACACCCCGGTTGCCCCCCACGGGCAACACGACTCGAGTTATCTTGTCTTATGATCTTAAGAAAGATGAGAAACGTCCTTCGGTTTTCAAATGATTAAAACCTAACAAAAACTCAAAATGCAGCATTTAATGTGACCCATGCTCCTTTACTGGGGCTGCTGGTTTTTCTGGGATGGCTGGTCTGCTGCTCCCATGATGGAGGCCCGAGAACACAGCATGGAACAGGTCAGCGTTGTGGACCGTGTTTCCCATGACCCAGGAACCAAGCACCTGTCGATTGCCCTCCTCCTCCCTCTATGCTGGGGTGAGTGGGGGTGGGGCAACACGCACCTGCAAATTACTCGGCTGTCCACATAAATGGGAGCACAGAGATCCCTCTGGATCTCATTTCTGGAGCTCCGGCAGTCAGCGTGAAGTAGCTTGACACCATGGGGATTCATTTAAAAGGTTTTTTTTTTCCTAAAAGGCTTTTGGCCTGAGAGCCAATCTTTGCTTTCCAAAATCAGGCTATAGTGCTGACAGGTTACAAATTGGGTCTGATTTACAGCAGGCCGACTGCGGCCCAAGATCAGTCCTCAACAAAGGCAGCCTCAAATTAAACGCAGCTTGTGAGACTGGCTGCCTGAGATGGGGTCTGCTGCCCTCTAGTGTTCCGACAATGAAACAGAATCATGACTGTCAACCTTAAAATGCCCAAACTGAGCACATTTAAAGTTAAATGAAAAATAAGATTGTTCAAGTAGCATCAGACGTTCCTTTAATTGTCATTTATCTACACATAAATACTTAATGATTACAGAAGATAAACACATTATTAAATTTAACTGCACACAGGAATTGCACACTGACCTAAGTCATGTAGGACGTCTCGCAGCAAGGTTATAACCAGACGGAGGTGGATGGTTCAGGTCCAGAAAGTAAAATTCCAGATCACGATTTTGTTTCAACCAACAAGTTAAGTTCTCTGTGACTGTGACTCTTTATGCTCATCTGGTTGGTTGAAACAAAATCTTGGTCTGGATTTGTACTTTCTGGACCTGAACCATCCACTTCTGTAAACAGGCACATTATTACTGGTACAGTTCTGAAGGTACAGCCACGACCTGGTCTGGGGAAAGCGAGAGCAATTTTTGGGCCGTCAGCTTTTCCAGGGGCGTTCTGGGATCCGCGATGCCACCCGAGCAATGCCACCGTCTCTTCCACCTCCGTGTACAGTCAGACTGCACATGGTTGGTGACCGAATCACATGGTGCGTGCGTGAATGGGGCGGGGGTACTGACTGAACATATCTCCTCTGACGGAAAGGTGATCCAGCAGCCCGGGGGGGCCTGGGGGGCCAGGGGGTCCTGGAGGCCCAAACTCTCCCGGGTAGCCTTGGTCTCCCTTTGGCCCTGTGACAATGACGGTAACCAATCACATCGCCTCTGGCAGTAATCAAAGCCATCTGATTTGGAAAGATGTTGTGAGATTTGGGCTAAGGTGTTAAAGACCTTGGAGGGGGGTGGGGGGACTCACCTGGGTTGCCTACTGGGCCAGGCAGTCCTGCGAGGCCCATTTCTCCTTTGGGTCCTGGGAAGCCAATTAACCCAGGGTTTCCTGGAGGTCCAGGTGGACCTGGGAGTCCTGAAGAACATAGCGTGGTGACGAGGGAGGGGCAGGAGGTGCAAATTGGTGGGAAAGGCAGGAGGTGCACTAGCATGAGGCCTGATTACATCAGAACCGGAGAGAAGGGAGTGGGACTTCCAGGACGACGTTAGCCCTGGGTACCAACTCACCTGGCAGGTGGGGCCCCTGGGGGCCACTAGGGGTGGGGTGAGGTCTATCCACTTCGTTCTCGGTTGACCCATCAGGAAGGCCGTTAACAGATGGAGGAGGTCTACAGTTCTCCAGTTGTTTGATCTGGAGGCGAAAGCAGCAGAAAACAGGTGAGAAAGAGCCGTCCCTGTGATGGCAGAAATATAGGCTGTAAGAGGTGTTACTATTTCAGCCTGTAAAGAGGGGATCACACACACAGACACAGACAGACACACACACACACAATCTGATGGGGATGCAATCATGGCGCACTGCCACCGGTGGCCTGGAGAGTCAACTGCACTTGCCTTGGACTCGATGTGGGTCAGTCTTTCCGTCATGTGGGTGTAGCTGGTGCAGTTGAAGCACTCTGAGGAGACGAGAGAGAGAGAGAGAGAGAGAGAGAGATAGATACTCTCAGACCCACGAGTGTCTTAAGCCTCGGACTCACAGTGGTCAGAAAACCCATCACGATAACACAGAGAAACATTTTAAAACGATATGAGGGAGGTACAGCAGGCAGATCAGCCAGCCGTGTTTCCTACAGGCTCCGCCCCCCTGTGCCAGCTCTTCAGGGGTCAGAGGGTTCCTGGCAGAAAATACACAGAGGCAGGATGTTAGAGGTACCAAGATAAGGGGGGGCACGTCACACTGGATCCCCTCCAAGCTCCAGCTTTGTCCTGTGTGCCTGTGGCAGCCCTGAGCCCCCCAGCTTCTAAAAAAACAAACCAGGCCCCTCGGGGCACCATGAGCACCGCAGCGGCTTCTGGGTAACAGAAAGCACACTGCCCGCCCTCCCCCGGGCTTGTTTTCTGTCTGTCTGCTCACTGGCAAATCCCAGCATGCGCCCAGACAGCAGGAACACACAATGGACCCAGCTCAGGGCCCACCACAAACACCCCCCCACCTTGGTACGACAGTCTAGTGTGCCAGTTCCCAGTGCTTCCATTTCAACTAATCACATCACACCCTGTGGTCCCGCATCTTCTTAATTACTGGAGGCGGCACCAGCAGGGGGCCCGTTGAGGGGGCTGTCAGTGCCCTCAGTTACATCCTTACCCCCCAAGAGAGAGAGGATGCCGCGTGCCCTTTAAACAAGTGGCAGTCTGCCCCGATGGCGCCCCCCCCCCCCCACAGCAGGAAGGTGGGAGGCAGCTGACAAGGTCCTAATAACTGGGTCGGGCCCTGAGCAGTAGACGGTCACGGCAGGTAAAAACCACCATCAGGGATCTTTATGATGCTGTTTGGGGCCTAAGTGCCCAGTTCACCCCCCCACCCCATACACACAAGCAAGTGCTACTGGCTGACAGACTGCCCTCAGACCCAGCAGGTTCATAAACACCTGACCAGAGAGGGGTCTACATCAGCTCATCCGCCCCAGGGGGGAGGATTAAATCGAGAGCTAGGCAGGGGGGGTATGACAGAGAGAAGCCACATGGGGGCGGAAAGGCACTACCTGCCCCCACGGCTCTGAGAGGGATGTTACTTATAAAAAAATAAAATGACAGCTATGAGTATCGCTGTTACCTGGAGCGGAGGTCAATGGGGGTGTGAGAGACCCCCAGAGCTCAGCTGACGGACCTCGATCGGGTCCGGAAATCAGAAAAATGCTAAAAGACTCTAAATCGCTTAAGAAAGAGGGATCCAGTCGTGGACCCAGAATCATACTCTTCATGGATACAGACATACTCTTTGTAGATACACTCTGTAGGGATACAGACAAAGTCTTTATGGATATAGACATACTCCTTATGGATATTGTAGGGCTGTCACACACCTATATCAAACGCATGATTAATTGCATCGGCCATCATGTAATACCATCCATCCTGGGTCAAATGGTTCACAGCAGCTACGACATAAACACCTTTCACTCCACGATGTCCAGCAACAGATTCTTTTATCACAGTTTCTCTCTCTAGATCTGAAACCTATTTGGCAAATGGCTCTAAAAGCAGAAGTCTGACATCCACTGAAAGTCCACTTAACTGGAAAGACCCTCATTTTAAGACATCTACCTCCAAAAAGATACAACAAATGATGATATTTTTTTCTTCTGAGACACTTCGCAATTTTTTTAAAACAAAATGGACCAAGTTACACCTAAGAAACAGGATGGAAAAAAACTACAGGTCTCTATTAAAAATATTTGCTCATACTATTTTCCCATTCGGGTATCAAAATTAAGACATGCGGTGATGTAATCAAAGAAACAACGTGTGATAACTTTGTCTGCCTTAAAGTACAGACATGCTCTTTATGAATATAAACATACTGCAGCGCCAGACTGACCGAGGCATTGCAGAAGCAGCTTGTTTGTGGGGAAAGAACACACTATTTTATTATGGTCCTTAGTAGGACTATACCAGGCAGCCAATGCCCACAGCATTGATCTATATAACCTCCATAAAGAATACAGGAATCCTCTTTATATATATAGACATATAAAAATAGACAAACACTTTATGGACAAGAACCTTTTCATTGGAAAGGCCTGCACATGTTTTCGATGGTTAAATGCAGATATTTTCCAGTACCCTGTAACTCTATGTCCTGCCAGCTGCCCCAGGTCTGCTAAATCCAGCCATAATCAATTTTATTCTTTTGGTAGAGACTCCCGGACAACTGCTTGCAGGACAGGCCAGCCGGGAGCAGTGAGAGACAGGAACCATTTTTGAAAGTATGAGGAAACCCTGTGTCCTAACAGCTGGAGTTAAACAGCTGGCACCTAGAAGGCATACCGGAGATTTGGGGCTCGGGCCGGCCCAGCCCGCTGCCAGGGGAGTTCCAGACCCCACTGGTGCGTCCGCAATGAGACGCCTTTGACCAGCAAGAGACACAGAGCTCCATAATAACTAAGGAAGTGTGTAGTTTGGGGAACGCCCAGGGCATCTTGGGAAACAGCACTCGCAATTTAAAGGGGAGGATCTGATCTCGAGCCAGTGTCATGTAAGCCAAAAATGCAGGCGGGGGGTGTATCCGGGCACCTCTGCCCTCCATCCAGTGAAAACATACTGCCCTAGGAGGCCGGTGACACCCACTCTGAAACATGGACACACGCACAGGAGGGTCACCCTAACAAAAACAAGCAGGGAGGGGTCAATTTCACCCTGCGGTCTCACCTGCCTCTTTGCCACTCCCCTCACCCTGTCGGACCATGAGGATTACCAAAAAAGCCTCTCTCTGTGAACATTCTCAGGAATTATTTCTCCATTACGTTATTTCACTAATGTTTGTAGATCAGCACTCCCCCCCCTCCCCCACCAAAAAAACAGCCTGGCATGATGAAAGCAATGGCACAGAGTAATGTGACCTTTCAAATGATTCTCTTGCATCTATCCTGTCCTCTCATGCGATAGGAATGCAACTATGTAATGGGCAGTAAGCAAACGTACACACACACACCCACACACACAGACAAACACAAACACGCTCCTCGGTCTGCTGTAAAAAACAGGACAGCAGGGCACAGAACGCCAACGCTAATTACAGGAAATGCAGGCAAAATGTGCGAGCCAGCGAGAGAGAACGAGAGGAGCGGGAACGAGGGCCGGAGATTTGCCTTAAAATGGTCACAGTCGGCATTTTATTTACTACAGCAGAGACATTTAAGGTTATCAGACGAAACTTTGCTGAGTGGACCTGAGCGGACCGTGACCCACTGCGCACCCCCAACCAGATCCACCACCGTGTGCCACGGAGAGAGAGAGAGATACCAGCAGGACAGGCACGGTCAGCATAAGCTGAGCTTTCCTGAGGGTCTCACTGGTGTAGCACCTCTGTGGAGGTTCTGGACCAAAACAACCCCACAGAACGCTCTGGGAGGGAGGACAGTGGCAGCTTTGATACACACCCCCTCAGTATTTGCCGTTTCACACACACCCTTTCCCTTCAGTTACATCACAAGCTTCTGACATCCAAACCACCGCGTTTGATCACATCCAGCATGTTATGTCTAATGCCGACTACATCTGTTTATTTCTCTGTTCCAGGCGTTGTTGTCATAACTCATGAAACAATAATTACCTCTCCTGATGGTTTTTCTGCACAGAAAGGCTTGTAGATGGTTTTCATAAGCAGGGATTGGTTGCCGACGCCACGCCGCCTCTCTTAATTAGGAAGCCACATGTTACTAAAAATGGAGAGAATTTTATGAAGCGGACTGGTAAGCACATGCTAATGTGCCAAAAGTAATTTAGCAGAGCTTTTAAAATTTAGGGGTAAAAAAATCATTCATCTTTGATCTTGACTCTAAGCTAAGCATGAAAACGGTCATGAACAGCAAATAGACGTGTCAGACCCCCACTGTGACAGACTGGGTCACGGACAAACTGGATCACTGACAGACCCCTACTGTGACAGACCCCTACTGTGACAGACTGGGTCACTGACAGACCCCCCGTGGTTAAAGAAGCTGGATGGTTTTTAAATACCACATGGTTGATTTATCAGTCGGGGGACAATGTGGGTGCTGGTGGGGGTCTCCTGTCAGGTGGAGCGGTGGGGGGGGGGGGCGGGTGTCTCATGGTGTCACTGCAGCCCCTGCCTCACCCTCATAAACAGCAAACAGGGGATTCTGGGAAGGGACCGAATTAAGGAAAAACCCAGGGTGTACCTTGGTGGGGGGTGGATTAGGTGGGGGCCGGAGAACAAAAGCAGCACACCGCACCCGGACAAGCGGCAGAGACAACTAAAATGTACCGTTTGTCATGTGGTTCAATGTAGCTGGTGACTAAACTAAACTCCTTACCACGTAGGTCGGTGTCCCACACAACTCCAGACGGGAAACTCGAATTTATGCTTTTGGTAGACACAACATTGGGAAGCTCCATTGAGATGACAGAGTTATAGCTTGTGAGTTGAACAGGTGGGGGCAGGTGTTTTGAGGACCAACACTGTCCCAGGGTTCAAAACCTACGGTCCAGACCATGCTACTGTGATGCTGCCTGTCCCTGCTGTGACGGGCACCGGAAACCCGGCCATATATAAACCAAGGTGCTGCCGGCAGGATGTGAGCGATCGCAGACGTGCGGCCCCTCCCTTGGCACCGTGTCACTTCCTGGCGACTCACTCAAGCCAAACATGCGCGTGCGAGACATGCGACCAGGCAGCTGATGATCCACATGACAGTTCCGATGATGCACTTAAAAAATAAACTCCGGAAACAACAGCAACAGACAAAGTCGTACATGCGGAACGCAGGACAAAGGGGAAACAGAAGCTACTGAACAGCACAAGATGATCAGCCATAAGTGAGGAATCCCAGACAAAAAAGGGAGACAGGAAATGTGCACAAAAAAACAGAACGAATCGCGCACTTATAAATACGAAACACGGGATGATCCTGCAACAGCCAGAGACTCCCCTTCCCCTCCTGAGCATGATTTTCCCAAAACACCCCCACTTTGTGCCAGTACAGGATCTACACTCAGACCACAAGCAGCTGAACATGCAGCTGTTAGATGGGGGGGTGGGATGGGGTGTTCAGGGGTCCTGAGATCTGCAGTTTTCATCGCAGTGCCCCTCCCCAGCCCCCCTGCTTCTTTCTAGCATTCTTCCTGGTTTTCCTGATTATTCAATCCATCCACAGTCTCGTCCAAGACCAACGGCTGGTAAAAGATGGGACCAACCTGGCGGGTCTATGACCTCACGCTTGGTGACTACAAGAAGGTCCGTGACATCTAACTAAATGTTGTAGCAGAAATGAAAGTGGCTGAGCTGACCTGCAAGGGGCCCTCTGGCCCAGAGCAGAAGGAAGCAGCTTATTAGTACGCCAAGGTTTGTGAGATGCAATGTATGGACAAAAATATTGGGACACCTGGCCATTACACCTACAGGAACTTTTATGACATCCCATTCTAAATCCATAGGCATCAATATGGAGCTGGTTCCCCCTTTGCAGCTATAACAGCTGCCACTCTTCTGGGGAGGCTGTCCACAGGATTTGAGTGTCTGTGGGAATTTTTGCCTATTCATCCAGAAGAGCATTTGTGAGGTCAGGCACTGATGTTGGATATGAAGGCCTGGCTCACAATCTCCACTGTAATTCATCCTGAAGGTGTTCGATGGGGTTGAGGTCAGGGCTCTGTGGGCCAGTCAAGTTCTTACACACCAAACTCACCCAATCATGTCTTTATGGACCTGGATCTGTGCACTGAGGCACAGTCATGCTAGAACAGAAAAGGGGCCTTCCCCAAACTGTTCCCACAAAGTAGCACAGAATTGTCCAAATTGTCTGGGTATGCTGCAGCATTAAGAGTTCCCTTCACTGGAACTAAGTGACCAAACCCAACTCCGGAAAAACAACCACATACCATTATCCCTCCTCCAACAAACTTTACACTTGGCACAATGCAGTCATGCAAGTAATGTTCTCCTGGCATCCGCCAAACCCAGACTGCCAGACTGAGAATCGTGATTCGTCACTCCACCTTTCCAGTGCTCCAGAGTCCAGCGGTGGTGAGTATTACACCACTCTGACACCTGGCATTGTGCTTGGTGATGTGAGGCTTGCATGCAGCTGCTCGGCCATGGAAGCCCATCCCCATGATGCTCCCAGTTATTGTGCCTGGATTAATGCCAAAGTAAGTTTGGAACTCTGCAGTTACAGTCAACAGAGTGTTGGCGACTTACACTATGCGGCTCAGCCCTCAGCGACCCTGCTCTCTTACTTTACATGGACTGCCACTTCATAGCTGAGTTTCTGTTGTTCCTAACTGCTTCCACTTTTCAATAATACCACTTACAGTTGACCGTGGAATATCTAATAGGGATGACAGTACCACACTTGAATTCACTGAGCTCTTGTAAACCCGACTGCATGGCTATGTGAATGATATTATGCACCTGTGGCAATGGGTCGGAATGAAAAACCAGAACTCAACGATTAAGAGGCGTGTCCCAGTGCTTTTGTCCATATAGTGTATCAAATGTATCTTAGTAACTTGGTTGTTTTTGTATCGCATACATTTTTTAAAATGTCAAATACCATCATCATGGCCATATACCCATTCACAGGATCATCATCATCATCATCATCAATATATGAGGAGTTTAGAAATAGCCTGTAACCCTGTATCTGGGATAACTTTCAGGATTCTCACCCAGACGGATGAAAATAAAACATCACGAATGATTATGGATTCCTCTCCCTCCATGACGTCCCTGTTGCGTAAGAGAGATGGTGGGACCAGGAATAGGTACAGTCATGGGGGAATGTTTCTGAGCAGGGAATGTACTTCCAGCAGAGAGACAATACCCAGCCAGCACTGGCTCAGTGAACTTTTCCAGCAGGTGTGTGTGTGTATGGGGGAGGGGGGGGGGAGTCAGGTGCTAAATGCAGCCCAAACTACTAGACCAGGCACAGAACATCAGCACCAGGCAGGCCAAACGATCCCCACTCTACAGCAGTGCTTTCCCAATCCGGTCCACGGGGACCCGGTGACAGTCCACGTTTTGGGAACAAAAATGTGCCGTGCCTGGTGCAGAGGTGGGAGGCAGCAAAAACGTGGACTGGCTATGGGTCTGCGAGGACCGGGTTGGGAAACACTGCTCCACAGTGTATGCTAATCTCTGTCCACACAGATTTCAAAATCTCCCATAACGCCTCACTGCCACACCAGAACAGTCTGGGAGGTGGACAGCCACCTCCTCCACAGTCACAGCAGAGTCCCAGAGCCACAGCGGACTGTAGACAGCTTACCCTTACTGCAGTTCTCGCCCATGAAGCCGGGACAGCAGCGCCACTCCAAGGCCATCACCTGTCGGTACGCCACGTGGTATGTGGGCAGAAGCTGGGTCCTGAAACTGACACAGAGAAGCCTTTGCTGAAACCGGCCACCTTGATTTTGCACTCAGGTCTGTCCCACCATGAAAAAAGCCTTTTTGTTCACTTGACACAAATGAGGACCTTGCCAGCATGCACTTGGCCCCCGATGCATACATTTGGCTTAAACCTTGGTGGTGACTCCAGAACCGGGATTCCTCGCTGCGGAAGACATGTGGCAGGGCTCAGGCGTGGCCACCAAAAGGAGAGACTGAGAAATCAAGGCCAGGGCCTGGACCTTAAAGTGTTTTCCAGATCTCTTAAGCAGTATGAAAATGGCAAAAATGGAGTACAGTGGTACCTCAGAACTCAAACTTAATCCGTTCAGAACTCAAAAAAAGTTTGAGTTCTGACTAAATTTTCCCCATAAAAAATGATGGAAAACCAATTAATTGGTTCCCGGCCCCAAAAAAATTACACCTATGTTTTTTTTAGCATTTAAACACAAAATGAACTGGATAAAACAAGAAGAGCATATACTGTACTAAACACATCTAAGCACATTTATCAAAACAATAATTTGTAAAGTAAGAAAATAAATGTATCTAAACAATGTGTAAAGTTAAAAAAAAAACAATGTGTCCTGCCCCGATTGTCCGCTCCTTCCATGTGCCACGCCCCCTCGTTAACCCCGTGTGATAGGTTGTTTCTGCTTGTCATTAGTCCTCTGTATTTCGTCCGCGTTTCAGTTTGTTTCCCCAGTCCGGTCATTGTATTGTCCGTCTGCGTTTTGCCTGCCTTACCTGTAATTAAACCCCCTATTCCCCGATACCCTGACGTCTGCGCCTTTGTCTCCGTTCCATCCCGCTCTGCACGACAATATTATGATTAAATGTATTAATGGTTTATTATTAATATTAAAATAATGAATAAGAAATTTATTTTTAAATGTATTTTATTAAATAATAATAATTACTGTTATTGTCTATCATTGTCCAAATGTATTTTTACTGTCTAAATACACATATTCAGTTAGTGTAAACATGCACGGTGCTATCACAGCGAATGAGAGGCTGAGACTGAAACGTTACCCTTTGTTTCCACTGAGAGACGTGCCGCGTGACTCATTTCCCCGCCTGTACAAGTTATCTTAGGTCGACGTTCACGGTTTGACTTCTGAGATTCAGATCGAGCTCTAGGTAATTCTTTTTCGAACTGGTTGGTTCGACTTTTAAGAAATTACAGTTCTAATGAGTTTGAGAACTGACGTATCAGTGTATGTGTATAGATGTGGATTACTCATCCATCCATCCCAAGCAGCAATGTCCAGACCTCCCTCTCCCCAGCCACCTCCTCCAACTCCTCTGGGGGAATACCAAGGCATTCCCAAGCCAGCCGAGAGATATAATCCCTTTAGCGTGTCCTGGGTCTGCCTCGGGGCCCCCGGAATAGACCAATGTAGATTAGGTGGCAGTCGAAGGATGGGTATTACACATATAGATAAAACTTTGTTACTCTTCTGTCTGCCTGCTCCTGATCGTATATATTTTCCTTGTGTTCATAAATCGGCTTATTTTGCGTGTTGAGGCATTGCTTAAGAAGATGCCTGTCTTCACCCATTAACTGGAGATACGTTCTCCTAGACCAAACAGTGTTATCTACCATCTCAGACATGGAGAACAGGACAGCGGAAACTTCTGATTAGTAAACTAAAAAGGGTGGAGGGAACTTTAAATAAACCCACATAAATCTTCAATAACACGCCCATCATTATCAGAGACAGTGTGACTAGAAAGACTGATGAACATTAGCATCTGCATCCCGTTGTAGAAAAGACTTTCGTTCAAAGAGTTTACAGTCCATCAGCAACATGGCAGCCCTCGGGTGTAGCTTGTGTGGCTCTGCTCTGCTGTATAACTGCCATGCATCATTCCAGAGGTCAACCACAGCAGTTTCTTCCAGCAACCGAATCCCAGCTGTGTTTGCTTGTCAACCATCATTGTCTAACAGATGGTATTTAAAGAAAAGAACTTTATGTACCCTTTAAACATATTACTGCCTTGTGGAGTTTTCCGCAAAGTTTTTTATGAAGAGAATTCAATTACAGGGTTATATCTCTCCTCATAGACACTGTGGATAGATATGAATTGTTGTGTGGTAATGCCGTCATAAAGAACCAGGATTGGGCCAAGAGGTATTTGCATGCTGGGAAAAATGTTATATGTTTTACTAATTATACCCATTTCTGTGGGCTCTTAAATAAGAACACCAAAAATCACAGCACCCCACAATGAAAAAGGTCCACTGAGATTAGTGGGTGTTACTGCATAGCAGGGCAGATGTGTGTATGTATGTGTGTCTGTTTTTTTAATAAACAACAACATACAGTGGTGGATGTGGTGAGCTGTGTATCTCTATATACTCCCGTAGCCTTCCAATGAAGTGGTCGTCCTTAGCCTTAGTGTCTCAACTAGGGGCGTCAGAAGCATTTTGAATCTCTTAATTCAATGACCTGCACTGATGATTCACTTCACTTGCGTGCAGTGAGTTGTTGTAGGTAACCTGGAAAACCCGGAGTGGTCTTTCAGTGGTATGTGTATTCTCATATCCATCAAGTGGAATGGATCCTTTCGAGAAGCAATAGAAACAGAGCTGGGTGAACAAAAATTTTATGTTAAATGTGGGGGGGGGGGCAAACGAATAATTATGAAATGTGAGGGGGACACGGCAGCGCCCATGATCTCAACGTACCTGTTGTGCACTTGGCAGGATACGGTCTTCAGCACAGTGTACTGGCACCAGTTTCTAAAGGGGAGAGCAAATGGGGACAGCTCTGCTCATAGCCCTCTTCCAAAAGGGGCATGTAATACAGCAATGGGGTTTTACTGAAGATTTACAGATAACACTTTCTCCAGAGAATGCTGTCATTATTTGTAACTAACCACAATCACACAAGGCTCTCTGACAATAGACTGAAAGTAAGATGCATGAACCAGGCACATTGCAATACTTTTACACAAGGTGTGAATGTTAAGGAGGGAAAAAGAAAACACTGCTCATACACTTACCTTTAATTTAGGCTAATGGTCATAGAAACATATAGCCTGCAATGTAGTTCGTTTTCATTAAGTTACAAATCGTCACTATAAGCCTTAAGGTGGCCCTCAGCTGAACATACATTATTTTTCAAAAAGCGGTGACGACGTCAGACTAGAAATCACGGCACAACCGGCTCATTTCAAAACCTCGTGAGAGGTCTAAGTACACCTAGGATTATAGGCTATGGTTAATTTGTCTCCCTTCGGTTATACAGAAAGTCCAAATAAGCATATCGTCTGGTCCTGAACATGGGAGCCAGCGTTGGGATCTATAAATCAGCTGATGAAAATCCCCAATATCCGAGGCTTAGTGACAAATGCAGGCTTTTTGGTCTGCCGCCTGGGACCCGGGATGCCGGGCTATCCTGACATAAGACCGAAACCACGTGCAGAGTATTTGTGGATAAGTGGAATGGTTCCCGATCAGATACAACAAGTGTTATGCCGAAAAAGGCATCCCTGCCGTAGAATGCATGCCGGTGTTCTGACGAGTTGAGCTTTTAGGGGTGTTTTGGGGGTTAGGGTTTTAGGGGTTTTTTGGGGGTTAGGGTAAGGGTAAGGGTTAGGGCTATCGATTAGCACTACGGTAGCCTAACTCGACAAAGTAGCTCAACTCGTTTCAGATCAGCGACCAATCGGTCATTTAGAGACAGGCATGCATTCTACGGCAGGGATGCCCTTTTCGGCATAACACCTACAACTGGATCAGGAAACCACGAGGAAAAATATGCAACATACCATGACTAATGTGCCAGCAAAGTGCTTTTAAACCCTGTGCAAATACCAGAAGGCGGCAGTAGGCATATCCCGTTGCGTCTTTTGACAGCCAGTCAGATCTACTGGAGCATTTTATTTCTTACCAAAAGCCACAGGTTCACGTATGAATAAAAATAATGTTCAGACAGCAGAAACGCATTGGAGACCACCTGATACCTACCTGGACTATGGTCTTACCTGGGGTGTGAGCTGCCGCCTGGGAGGGCAGCATATCGTCCCGAAGGGACATATTTTACCGCCGACCCGGGGAACTTGTAAACGAACCTGGTCCCACTTGACAGACTTGGGGAGAGCATCCAGATGCAGAAGATGGACAGCAGTGCCATGACGGTTACGGTAACGATAGGCGCGCTGAATGGAGCTTACAGCGAGCCCTTAAAGGCTGTGCAGAGACTGAGACTCTCCTGTCCGCACCCGGTAACGTCGCTGCTCTTGTCTGCACCACTACTTTCACTATAGCGTATTATGTTGCTGGTATATGCGCCAGTGGTGTCTCCCCCCCCCCAGCTGGAGGAATTAAAAAAAAAAAGTTTCGCAGCTGTGCGTTAAGACGCACCCACGTCAGGATTGGGGTGGGGGTCCACCACGTTGTGGTACTAGGAAGGCGGCTGGAAACCAACCAGAGGAGGACCTCAGGAGAAGACGTCAATACCCATCTTACCTAAAATGAACGTCTCAACAAGGAATGTGTTTAAAATAATTTCCTTTAATTGAATGATTCCACTGTTTAATTCCAATTAAACAGTTACACTGTTTCTAAATTTATGTTATCCTGGTTAAATTTTTTCTAGTTCTACCAGGACAAATAACAGTTTTAACAGATCATATCGAGTAAATTTACTGATACAAGTAAACATTATAAATGCGCCTTGACTCAATCCCCCGCGATTTTGCACCAAGAATTAGGACATTTATATTTTACTTGTTTTTGGGTGGGGGCGTTTATAAGCATTTGAGCTGGACCACTCCCTTTACAGCCACCAGCCCAGTGCGCGGGGACAGACTTCCGCCGTAAGGGTACCGTCCGTTATTACACATTTCAACCACACGAGGTCACCATATTGCAAGATAGGCGATGAACGGAAAGCGCGTCTCCTTTAGGTTTCTTTTCCAAGTTGTATTACCTGGTAAAATGGCACTGGGTTCGCGTGATAAACATACAATTGGAAACCGTTTTGTAACAACTTACACAAACCAAACCTACATGGCTTATATTCTTTGCTCTTAAGATAGTGACAGGAATTATATTAAATATTTATGTCAAATATGCAAGAGGAGGAGACCTTTCTCAGAATACCAGTAGTGAGCTTTTCATTCATTTGCAGAGACCAGACATTTCCAGAAATGGAACACAACAATTTAAGAGTATCAGTTTAATATGAGGAAAAAAACTGAAGTAAAAGCTGTTGTACAATAGGCATGTTAACGTTGCATCTTCCAAGCGTCATGCTTCAAACTTTAACCAACTACAACAGGGAAAGTAAAAGCCCCCCCCCCACCCTCGGTCTCTGTCCCCCACACCACTGCAGCCCCGAAAGCGGTTACACAGTAGATGCACATCAACGTCAGACAGGTTAGGAGTGAACAAATGGGATTAAACAGCTGGAAAGTACAGACAACCCCCCCCCAAAAAAAAATACCCCGCTCTGGAATGGGACACGGACAGCCTCAATACGGCCGGTCTCGTCTTTCTTCTCTGTAGTCACCTCTGAAAAAGACGAGACAAACCCCAGTTGGAAAAAAAGACAACCCAAAAACCAAGTCAGACTCTCTGAGGTGCTAATGAATGCAGAGAGTGAGCCCCCTAGTGGCCAAAGCCTTTAGGGGACGAGATCAGTACAAACAAAATTTCCCTTGGGGACTCTGCACAGGCGTCGCCACTGAATAGCCACTCATACATCGTTGTACTAATATGATATCGATTCTGTTGATATTTGTGTGCGGCCACCATAACCAAGGCATTTCTTTTTTACTCGTTCGGCACTGGAGCATTAAAAATGACTAATTCACATCTCTACCACCTACCTGCCCCCCATCTTGAAGCCACCTCCACGGTCACCACCACGGAAGCCCCCCCGGCCTCTGAACCCACCACGGTCGCCTCCAAAGCCCCCTCGACCTCCACGATCTGCAAAAGAAATACGTTTTTTCCAACAAGCACGGCCCATCACAACATGGGAGGCTGAAGACGCATGGAAGACGGCTCCCGTACCTCCAAAGCTGTCCGCCGGTTTAGGAGTGCTACATTTGTTGCACTCAAACCGTCGGGCGAAGTTCAGGTTGCCACAAGAGCTGCGGTGAAGGGGGGGGGGGGGGCAGCGGATTCTCTGTTAGCGTTTTAACTCAGATGGCATGTAACCTACACAGAAACACACATACATTACCTGTTCGGACAAAGCCAGTCTCCTCCCCTCATATCGAACCCTCCAAAGCCAGCGCGAGCACCACGGAAACCTGAAATCAGGACAACGGCATCCATTAGCAGGGCTTCACTCTCCAAAACAGCGGTTCAAACACAGAGAGACACAAACGCACCTCCACGGCCTCTGGCCCCACCCCGGGGTGAGAACTCTGCCCTGCGGGTAGCAAAAGACACCTTGATCGGCCGCCCTTTGAACTCCTTCCCTGTAAAGAAAATTCCTAGTTTAATACTACGAACACAGCATGTTTCCGAAGAACAACGGCCTATTGGGAAGAGGGGTCAGCACTTACCGTCAAACCAGTCGATAGCAGCCTTGGCAGAGGGTGGATCATCAAACGAGACTGTGGCTTCCCCTTTGAGCTGGCCCGTGGCTTTATCAGTGTATAGGTTAATCATGGGCTGCGCCGTCTTCTTGTTTACCTGTAGGAGAGACATACATCAAGCACGCTATCAGCCAGAGGAAGATGGGAGACCGCAGACCAAGTACCAAAAGAGAAGCGGACATCTTGCCTTTATGATGCCAATCTGCTTAAAGAAGTCCCCAACTTCCTGGGTGGTGACATCCTCTCCAAGACCCTGGACGAAGATAGTGTTGTTGTCCGAGTTGTCCTCGTCCCCCCCTGGTGGACAGGGGAGATATCAATCACACTTTTAAGGCCCGGGGGAATGTGGAGGCGGTGGCAGGGGAGGCTTCAACAGGAACCTACCAGAATCATTTTTTTGTCCATAATCTCTGGTCCCTGAAAAACATCAAAAGGACAGAGAGGGCAGCATAAAACAACAGGAGAAAAGGTCAAGTTACATGACTACAGAGCTCACTACCTTTGAGCTAGACAGCTCTGACTGGGCTTGACGCCAAGGTGCTCGTGAATCAGCACCCTCAGTTTCCTACGGGATCAGCCAACCCTTGTGCCATCAGCAGTATTTGAGAAGATTCTACTGAGAAACCACCAGCTTGCTTGTGGGCTATGGCAAGTTCCGTTTCACACAATGTTCACTTCCTTTCTGGGGCAAAAAGCTGCCATTTTCAACATGCAATAAATACCACCGTGGAAGATTTTAATGTTTTACATGTAAACACGGGAGAAAATTACGGCATGTCAAACGAAGACCCTAGGACAGTAGGAGTGGCTTATGTATGGACACAAGGACAATCTGTGGCTTTTGGAGTCCTGTTCTTTGCCAAAAGACTTTTTCCATGGAAACGGTTCTGATACTTGTCACTTACCACCGTAATTTTGGAAGCCACCACGGTCTCCACCTCTGTAGAGGAAAAATCGAAGAAATGATGCCTTCCTTTGTCACACCGAACCCAGTGCCCCCATTTCAAGCTTTGTTTTGGGGAGTTTTTTTTTTTTTTTTTTTACCAGTTTACACCATGAGAGTTTCCCCCTTTGCATGGGCCAATCCTTGAGGGGTAACTGACCAATGAGATTTCAGGTGGTCAACCCAAATAATCCCACAGGCCAATGGTCGATCAGTAAGACAATGCTGCATTTTTACCTGACTTTCAATTGATCAACCAGGAGGTTACCTTGGTTTTTACCGCATTGAAAAAGGTTTTTCTAGATAGCAGCATCACTCGACACAATGTCATGACATTTTCTTCCAATTTGAGAGATTAAACTGAGCTCCAACAGAAGAGGTCCGAGTTAAATCGCATTCACTTTGAAACCTGTGGTATAAAACGCAGACCAAGTTAAGAGAGAAAAAACACAGAACTCCATGACAGACACTCGTGTATGAACGGCAGATGATGTCAGTTATTCTGAAGCTTGTGAAAAGTTACATTTTCCCCCAGGAAAGTTTTACCCGAGGGCAGAAACCCAAGCAGTGTGAATTCACAAAGCGGGGACACGACAGGGTGGAGAAACACCTCCTCAAGTGCCAGGTCAACGATCATACCTTCCTGCTTGCGGTCATCGTCATGCTGAAACGTCACAAGCAGGAGACTCATAGACCTGCCTGGGCCAGTTATTCCAGTATAGACTACCCCAGAACCACTGGAGAGAGACTAAGCAGTCTGCAGGGGTCAAAACCCTCCCCAGCCCAGCTTTCTAAGGCAACACTGGCATCCAACTCGCCCTGGGGAGGGAGCATCATCAAAACAACATGGTGCAACGTGAGTCTAGCCAGCAGGGAACAAATCCCCAATGGTTTTACGGCTGTCAAACACTCCTGGTCACAAACAGCAAATGGCTCCACCTAGTGGCGAACCTGATGTGGACTGTCAGGCTCCGCAGGCCTGGGAGAGCGAGTGGGCCCAGTTTAACCCAACACCCCCTACACTTAGCCTGGACTTTGAGTATCTGAGAAACAGAGTCACCTTCTCTAAACAGGTATTTCCACCACCCGCCCTGGCGCTCATTTTAAGGCCACCGTAACAGACACACACAACCCTAGATCAGCCTTGGAGGGTCCCAGGCAATTTAGCCATCAGTCATGTCACTTAGCATGTCAGTGATGTCACAGGGTCACTCACACACAGCAACCCGACTGCGGGATGAGCCGACGGTGATGAAGACAGTGAATGAATCCCTGTCATGTGACCGGCCCAACGGCGAGTGCCCCATAACCACACTTTTCAAAAAAATTTTTTTTTTTTTAATAATTCATATCACACCTCCACCAAGAAGCAGAGGGACAGTCCCGCCCCCCAATTTCACAAGTTGATGCTCTAGCACACGGGAAAATCCCCAATGTCCACCCCCATCCACTTCCACCTTCCAACGAGAGCAGTGAACCAGGACACAGCAGAGCTTAGAGGAACCTCATCAGACGTGACACGCAAGGAGTAACCCTTCCTGCATCTCACCATTAAGACTCAAGATTTTTGCTTTTGTGGGGGGGGGGGGAATGACACACAGGTATGACACTGGCAGCATCTGGATGATGCACAGCAGAGGTGCCGATCACACGGACCTGCTTCCGGACGGCGGCGTGTGGGTGGCATGGAGGAGGAGCAGGAGGGGACCTCAGAGGGCCGGAACGCGCACTTACCTCCCACCGGGTGGGGGGCCACCTCTTCCGTCACGATCGTATCCCCCACGCCCTCTGCCTCGGTACCCCTCAGACCTGTCATCGCCTCCCCCATATCGTCTCATGCCCTGACCACCGTCGTCATCATCTGC